AGAGGGGAAGGGAAGTCTTACCTGCCCAAGCTGCTGCTCAGCATCAGTAGCATCACCTTCACCAGCAGCCCTGTGGGGCAGATCCTGGTGCTCTGTTCACTTCCTTTCCCCAGTACGTACATTTTGGGAGCAGGTCTGTGCCTGCTCTGGCAAAAGGCTCCCAGGGGAAGGGGGAGCACTATTCTGCTTGCACCACTCACCCCCACTTTCCCCATATGCATTGCTTGGTGTGGTATTGTGCTGCCTGCTTCCTGTGGCTAGGAAGAGGCAGCTTCCCCTGCTACTGCAAATGCTCCTGGGAGAGGGAGCACCATTCTGCTTGCCCCCTGGATACGCTGATTGGTGTGGTGCTGCCCTGCCTGGTTCCTGTGGCTCGGCAAGAGCAGCACAGGGCTTCCCCAGCCACAGCAAAGGTTTGTATTTGGTGCCCAGGTTGGGTGTCTCCCCTATCCCTAGTTATGCAACTGTTTAAATAGTCTCAGCAATGCATCCCACGCTGTACTGTGCCATGAAGAACCACAAACACGGAGTCAATACACTAGAATCTGATTTCTCTTTACATTCCCAAGTGGCAATTATCCAGCTGCATAACTTCCATTTTTGGCACTGATGCATAGTTTGTGATCCTATTCCCTGTACAGTGAAGACATGCAAACGATCAGGTGGCTACTGAGCTCTGGTTGTAGCCTTTGCTCTGGCTGATGCGTGTGTACTTGAGTGAAAGTCCTGCAAAAATGAGGGGGAGGATGCAACCCTTCCTGTCTTTTAACCGCCACAGCTAAGTGGTCAGGGAACTTGTCTGGAAAGCAACAGACCCAGATTCTAGCCCCCACTTATCCATGGAGGGTTTGAACCTACATTTCTCTGACTATCAGGCCATAACAGGGACTATGATTATGATCTCATTACCTGGATTAGATTTAGATTCCTCTGTTCCTATGGGTTGATTGCCTGCTTGTTTCCCTCTCCTAGCACTGCCCCCCTAACCTCTTCCCTCCTCCCTTTTGTATTCAAATGTATCCTCTTTTGTGCACATCTTTTTGCAGCATCTGTTGAAGTGAGCTTCAGTATGTGCTGTATACTTTAGTTTGTAATGTGCAAATCTACCCTGCCTTCTACCAAGCCATAGTCAGGCATTACTTATGGCAAGGGGGCCTTAAACTTGGGTCTTATCTTCCCAGGCCAGACCTGTGGTTGACTGGGGCAGGCCTATGCTCTGACAATTCTGCATCCCTGCAAAGCCCCACAGAGGTCACCAGACATGGGCACAAGACTCAATGCCAAGGACTGAACAATTGGCCCCTGGGATTGGAGAGGTGCAAACTACTTCCTCTCATTGCTGAAGGGACAGGATCTGCCCTGAAAAAGAAATCATTCTTATAAATTAACAAATTAAAACAGCCTATGTGCCATAGCCATTGGATGCCCTTCACTTGCTGCCCTAAACTAACATGTTGTGTTGTTGTGATGCAGTGCACCACAGAACAGCTCCACAGCAGGGGAAATGAGGCTTCTATATAGTTTGTGCAGTGCTAGGAGATCTGATGGGATGAAATAGACATAAATTCTGGATATTATATAGAGGAAATGGATGCATCCTAGTGGGTTATCATTGGCTTAGCTGCTGCATGCAGAGTAATAATTTTTTTGGCATTATATTTAATCCTGTCTTTACTTCTAAGAATCTCTGTCAAGCTGTTACTGTTACCCTTGCCTCTATGATCGCTCACTAGCACTAGTATTGAGTGCATGAATAGCATCAATGCTATAGAAATTCAGCAGCACTGGAGAATGTGCTAATCCCACAAAATCTGGCTCTACAAGTTTCTTACATAACCCTAAGGAATAACCCGGAGAAAGGCATATTAAAAGTCAACAGCCATATGCTATTACTGATTTTCTTTTGTTTTCTGTTGCATAATGTCTTGGCAGCAGCTGCTAATCAAAGGTTCCTAATACCGTAACAAGGCCCCAACGCCATTGCTGACAGGAGGAAGGCCAGAAAGGGGTGCAGTACCTTTAAGAAAGCCCCACTGAATACAGACAGGACTTCAGGACGCGAGAAGGGCCCTTTGTCAGGGTCAGGGCTTGAGGCAGGAATAAGAGGGGGCGAGGTGGGGTAGAAAGCAGGGTGGAAAGTGGCTGCCAGATCTATAACATCATGAGAGGTGCTATTCAAATCTTGCCAGCAAGGGTGGCACCAAGTAGTGCGGAATGTAAACAGCAGGCTGCAGGGACTGAGCCATAGGCAATGGATTGAGCGAAGCAGGACTGCAGCTGGCATGCTCTTGGAGTCATTTAAGTTAATAGGAAGCTACTGCTCTCTGTTAAAGGAATCTTAGGTCAGGTGACTGGAAAGGGGAGAAGCAGAGACACATAAGCCAGGCTCAATGCCAGGTGTGTAGGTCTGAATCTCTGTGCCTTGTGGGGGAAGGGTCTCTGTAGAGCTTGGAGGGCAGAAGTTCACATGCTCTGAAGGGAAGGAAGACCTATGGTTCCTAAAGTGAAGGTGACTGATTAAGGGACTGCTTGGAAGATAAATAATTAAAGAATCACATTTCAAAAAGCTGACTGCAGGTCTGTGAGGCCTGGTTGTGTCTATGGGGGAGGCTGGAGGCTATAATTAGTGCCAAAAAGGCATGGTTGCTTGGTAGTGGGAACCCTAGAAATGCTGAACCTGTGATGGCAAACAAAGTTACCAAGTGAGATGGTACTATGGGTAAAGCAGCCTGGAGAGATGTGGCCAAGAGGGGAAGCACCTAATAAAAAAAATGATCTGGCCTCTAGAGGCAGCCTCCCAAAATTCATCAAAGGGAAATGAAAAGATGCTGGGGAGTACAACAGGAAGATCTGACTATCAGGGGGATTGAACTCTGAACAGAGCCCCATGCTTGCTACAGTACTAAAAGTGTTTTACATGGCTGCATTATAGCTGCACCAGTTCTGCTACAGTTGAGAGAGCCCTTTCTCTTCAAAAGTGACCCTTTTAAGTACTTCCTCAGATTGCTGTAATATCTGGAGTGGCGATTGGAAAGGTGGAGGGTAGGTTTCCTGTTCCAAACTTTTGGTGATTAGGGTGAGAGTTTGCAAAAATACAGACCCCTGAAAAAGCAGTTCTTAAGGTGGCCAGATTCTATTAACACTGGTATTATGCAGATCCAGGGCTTGAACTTCAGCTCTGCTTAAGTCCCCAAATGACATGGATCACTGGGTATTTGCTCCCATGAGGTCAGGGTGCTTAGTACTGTCCTCATGGGGTAGGAATGGTATGTAAGAAAGGGAAGCTGACTAGATAGCTGTGCATTCAAGCCACCGGCTCCGTGGATTACACTGCACGTGTGGACAAAATAAGGCTTTTTAGGCTACTGGCTTTGATGTGAGCTGGGTGGCTCCAGGGAATATGCCATAGCCACCAAAGGTGACTGACACCCAAACAGTCAGTAAAAGCAAGGCTTCTTGCAAAAATCTGCCTCCATAAAGGTGGAGTATAATCTCAGTACTGCAGAACACTTGGAAAGTGCTCGAGGCTACAGTGCCCTCCAGTACACCCCGCTGCTCTCCACATCCTGCCTCCTCAAATGGAAGTCAAGTAACTTTGCTTCCATGGTGTCATGGGTAGATTAATTTAATTGGGCCCTGTCGGTAGTACTAATTAGACTTCCCAAAACACCATGTGGACACGGTTACCCTTCTTCTGGTTTAAGAGCCAGGTCATGGAGCAGTGCTGCCTACTTGAGACTGCAGAGGTACCTGCTCATTTCTGTAAGATAAATTTGCAGTGGTAAACAGTAATGTAGAAGACTTACGTAGTGGAGAAGTGTGGATGAATAAGAGGAGGGAGGTTTGGAGCTGTTATGAGGGCAAGGGGCATTAATGAGGTAAATGAGGAGGCTCAAATATGTGGGAGAGCCTGGGACCTAGGGGGAGTGGAAGAATGACATGGAGATGAATGTCAGGACCAAGGGTAGTACCACCTGGGAGTTCCTCATTCTCTTCTCTCATGTGTGGACTGGATCTTCGGGCCATATTCTTCTGTGTATGTTTGAGCCCATACAAGCTAGGATATGGGGACATGGCTGTTCTCAGCTTCTTACCCCAGCCCCAGTATTGTCTGCATGGTGCATACTACTAGCAAGCCTGTCCTTGGCAGCTTGCTCAAAGGGAGGGCTTCACTAGATGCTGATCTATGGGGATAGAGGGAGGGGTTCAGATGCCTACAGAGGGACAGGGGCTGCCCAGGTCCTAGCAGAGGTGCAGGTGCTGGAAAAGAAGCTCACACCCTCCTAGAATGAGAAAAGCACTCGGATACAGGCCAGGGTCTTTCAGTTTGCATAGAAAGAGTAGTTCAGACTGCAGCCTGGGAGGGAAAACAGTGTAAGGGGATCCTGAGGATGCCTGCAGTAATTATTAAGATAGAGTCATGGATGCTAGGGTTGGAAGGGACCTCAGTAGATCATCGAGTCCGAACCCCTGCCTGGGCAGGAAAGAGCGCTGGGGTCAAATGACTCCAGCCAGATGCCTATCCAGCCTTCTCTTAAAGACCCCCAAGGTAGGGGAGAGCACCACCTCCCTTGGAAGCCCATTCCAAATTTTGGCCACCCTTACTGTGAAGAAGTCTTTCCTGATGTCTAGCCAAAATCTGCTCTCTGTCAGTTTGTGACCATTGTTCCTTGTTACCCCAAGAGGTGCCCTGGTGAACAGAGCATCTCCGGCCCCTTGCTGCATCCCTCTAATGAATGTGTAGGCAGCCACAAGATCACCTCTCAGCCTTCTCTTCCGGAGGCTGAAGACGTCCGGGTCCCTTAACCCTTAACCATATGAGTGGCACTCCTCTGGACCCTCTCGAGTCTATTAACATCCTTTTTGAAGTACGGTGCCCAAAACTGGATGCACTACTCCAACTGCGGTCTGACCAATGCCACATGGAGGGGAAGCATCACCTCCTCGGATCTATTTGTCATGCATCAGCAGATGCATGACAAAAGTGCAGTTAGCTTTGCGGATGATTTCATCACACTGATGACTCATGTTGGAGTCCACTATGACTGAGATCCCTTTCTGCTTTTGTCCTGCTGAGAAGGTCACTTCCCAGCCAGTAGGTGTATTGGATATTTTTGTGCCCTAGGTGCAGCACTCTGCACTTGTCTTTGTTCTACTGCATCCTATTGTGAACTGCCCACTTTTCTAACCTGTCCAGGTCTGTCTGCAATCGTTCCCTACCTTCCAGAGTGTGCACTTCACCCCACAATTTAGTATTGTCTGCAGACTTGGACAGAGTACACTTCACATCCCACATCCAAATCACTGATGTTTTTGAGGAGTGTTGGTCCAAGGACCGAACGCTGCGGGACCCCACTGCCCACATCCTTCCAGGTCAATACCAACCTGTCTACTACCACACTGGGTGTGACTGCTAAGCCAATTTGCCACCCACCGGGCTGTATAAACATCCATGTCACAGCCTCTTAATTTATTTATGAGAATGGGATGAGATACCGTATCAAAGGCCTTGCTAAAATCCAAGAAAACAACATCCACCTCTACTTCTGCGTCTAAGCATTTTGTGACCCTGTCATAAAACGAAACCAGATTGGTCAGGCATGATCTACCTGCTACAAATCCATGCTGGTTTCCCTGCTGCATTGTTTTTCCCACTGGATTCCCACAAATATGATCTTTCATAATCTTTTCAAAGACCTTTCCAAGGATGGAGGTGAGACTGACTGGCCTATAATTACTTGGCTCTTCCTTCCTCCCCTTCTTGAAAATAGGGACCACATTGACCCTTTTCCAGTCTTCCGGGACCTGACCCCAGCACCATGAGCGCTCAGACAGCTGTGCCAGTGGTTCTGCTATGACATCCGCCAATTCCTTCAGTACTCTTGGATGCAGCTCATCCAGGCCTGCCGACTTGAACACATCCAGTCCATCCAAGTGATTCTGCACCAAGTCAGCATCAACAGTTGGTGGGCTGGTGTCCCTCTGATGCCCATCTAAGAACCCATTAGGAGACTTATCTTGACCCTTGTTCAGGAACACAGAGGCAAAAAACTCATTGAATAGCTCAGCCTTGTCCCCCCTGTCTGTCACTAATTGCTCCTTCTTGTTCAGTAGGAGTCCTATGCTGCCCTGTGCCTTCCTTTTATTCCCTACATACCTAAAAAAAGACTTTTTGTTGTCTTTAATTTGTGTTGCCAGCCTCAGCTCTGTAGTTGCTTTGGCTTTTCTAACTGCCTCCCTGCAAGTGCGGGCCAAGTAGGTATACTCCTTCTTGGTAGCTTCCCCCTGCTTCCACTGCCCATATGCCTTCTTTTTTGCCCTTAGGCTCCCCTGGATTTTCCTGTTTAGCCAAGGAAATTTTCTGGCTCCTTTCCCCCTTTTCCCTCATAGTGGGATAGTCTCTGTCTGCCCCCAAAGGATCGCTTCCTTTAGGAACGACCACCCTTCCTGGACTCCCATCTCGCCAATACTCTTCTTTTGCAGTGCGTCGTTGACTAGACTCCTAAGCATGCTGAAGTTAGCCTGCCTAAAGTCAAACACTTCCACCCTGCTAGTTATCTTACCCATCCTATGCCATATGGTGAATCCAGTTGATTGGTGGTCACTGTCGCCAAGGTGACCACGAATCTGCAGCTCCCCTGTCAAGTCCCCCCCTGTAGCCAACACCAAGTCCAGTAAGTTTAATTTGATTGTGTGCCAGATGCAGTTACAATATGTAGCCCTGTGGAATTTTACAAGCTAAGTAGATAAGGAATAGATAGCCATTCATATGCATCAAGCCTTGATAGACTCATGCACCTCTGACACAGATATTTGGGTCCCTGGGTGGGTTAATCTTCATCCACTTTGCAGAGAAACTGTGTTTTCCAACTGTGTTGGAAAAAAGAAAATCAATGTTTTGGGAGGGCTGGAAGCCAGTGCCTTTTACTCTGAGCACATTGGTAGGGCTGAGATTCATAACGTTATGACTCTTCCCTGCAAGGGAGAGTCCTGGGTCCTGTGACTGGCCATCAGGCTGGTTTATGCATTTTCATGAGACAGTTGTACATGTAACAAGAAAACTGCTCTGGGAGCAGGACTTGGCACTCAGGACTCCTAACCCCCACCCTCCTTACTGGGCTATAAAGGCACACTGTTTTGCTTCCAGAGATCCTCCACACTCCAGGAATCTTGCATTCTTGGCAGCCCTGTGAGCCAGCTTTAACAGGAGAAGAGGCCAAAATGGCAGTAACTAGTAAGTCTAGGTGCCTGAGTGATTTGGTGGCCACTGCACAGGGCTAATTTGGATAACTCTTGACTTAGGCACCTACATTCTTTCTAGGCTCTCTTGAGGTACCTGTAATATTGATTTGGATCTTGCTTTCAAGTCTTTCATGAACTGTGAGAAACTACAGTGGAAAGAAATAGGGCAATGCCCTAAAATAGATAAAAGATGAGAGAAGGAGTAGAGGATTAGAAGGGGTGGGAGGAGGCTGCAGCTAGAACAAGGGAGCAGGTGGTGGAAGAAAGGAGAGAGTTGCTAGTGGAGAATGAAGAGAGATCTGGTAGAAAGGTAGCCAAGAAACAGAAACTGGGATGTACAAGGAAGAAATGGAGCAGAATTTGGAGGAGAGACAAAAAGCAGGAAAATGGTGTTTTTGAAAAGGATCCCTTCCATCTCAAAATCCCCCGGAAACCAATAAGGCAAGAACTAAACAAAATTATGCAATGACATCTTGGAGATGATTAACTATGGCACTAGGCCCCATGATGTTTAGCGGGTCTTCTACAAACACAAGAGAAATCATAATATTGATTCAGATTACACTTTTTTAAAGATTTTTTTTTTATACTAAATATTTTTAACCTTGTTCTTTCACAATCATTTCTTGAAATGCTGCTTTGTTAGCATAAAGCTGGTTTGCTCAAATGAACAGGACAAATCTAGTTTAATTCTTTCTTATGATTAGAGTTATTTAGTTTGCAACTCTTGTTTCTAATACTGAGCAATCAAATGTTTGCTATCTCACAGGCACACAGAGGAAAGTAGTCCTTATGTAGAAATAGCTTTTAGCCAGGGCAGACAAAATGCAGGGCTTGTCTATGCAGGATGCAAGGGGATCCTGCCTAGAGTGGGGGGGCTGGACCTGATGATCTGCAAGGTCTCTTCCAGCCCCTAACAATCTATGAAGTGTTTATAAGCCAGGATTCTGGTTTTAACTGAAAAAAAATTCCAAAATTCTCTGATAAGAGCCCCCACAATCTGCATTTTTCTGCAATTTAAAGTGAAATGCCATTATATTTATAGGTATCAATTGAACACGTTTTATTGATTTATTTACAATTTTAAAGAAATTTGGAAGCC